TGATTGTAACAATGATGATGATATTATTAATGATAATAATAATGTAGTGATAACAGCAAACACAACAGCAATAATGAAAATAATGATGATGATGATGATGATGGTGCTGATGATGGTGATGATGATGATGATGATGATGATGATGATGATGATGATGATGATGGTGCTGATGATGGTGATGATGATGATAATGGTGGAGATTATATTGGTGGTGATATTAATGATGATGACGATTAAAATGATGATGACGGAGTATGCATAGCAAAAACAGTGATAACAATACACATAACAGAAATACAAACACCAGCACTACCGCCGAGGCCCTTCGCTCGAGTCCCAAGGCGGCGGCAGGGTCGTCGGCTGTCCCGCGGCGCCCTTCGTGTCGTCGGCGTCCTTGGGACCGGAAATGGGAGGGGGTTGGGATGGACCGGAACGCGCGGAGGAGGGGGGGGAGGAGGGGGAAGGGGAGGGGTGGGGGAGGGGGAGAGGAGGGAGCAGGAGGAGGCGGGGAAGGAGGAGGAGGAGGAGGATGGGGGGAGGAGGATGGGGAAGGGGGAAGGAGGAGGAGGGGGAGGGGGAAAGGGAGGGTAGGGGGAGGGTTAGGAGGAGGAGAAAGGGGAGGAGAGGAGGAGGAGGAGGAAGAAGAAGAAGAAGAACAAGAAGAAGAAGAAGAAGAAGAAGAAGAAGAAGAAGAAGGAGGAGGAATTGCAACGTGCATCGTCAAGGCAATAATATCTAGCAATCGATTTATGGCATGAGATGTTAACAACACGGCGACAAGGTGAAATGAGAGGGGGGGGGGGAATTCCCGAACGGTTCTATTTTTCATCATCGTTGCTGACTTCTTGACTTAGATCATGTATTTTGTCCATTTCTCCTCTTTAGTATGATTTTCCTTTTTTTCCCCTAGCGTATAAGGAACGCACGCACGCACGCACGTACATCATTCATTTTCATTATTTTTCTTTTCGGTATTTGACTAACCATTTACTCCTCTTTCTCTATCTTTCTCTGTTTTCCCTCTCTCCCTCTCCCTCTCTGTCTCTGTCTGTCTCTCTCTCTCTCTCTCTCTCTCTCTCTCATACGTGTTATCCAGAGTGTCACTGCTCTTTTCACTGTTCTAATTACTCGTTTCCTCTGCAATTCGTATCAATTCGGAAATCTAATTATTGCAACTGCTGATAATAACATTCTCACTGTGTATTGCTTTCTTATCTTATCTTAACTGTTCTTCTCCTTCAGTATTTTCTTTATATTTATTTTCATTTGCTTATCTCTCATGTCACAATATTATTATATCATTGATCAAAACATCCCCATGACGATTATTAATTTGGCAATTTATCATAATTCATTGTTTCTATTTTCACTATATTATCCTTATTCTTTATATTTTCATGTTATCAAATTTAGGCTGTATGCTACATCACATTTACTTAATAAATATATATTCATTTTATCATTTATTCTATGGTCGTAAGTACAATTTTCCACTTTATATTTTTTTCTTTTTTTTTGCTTAATTTCATTTGATTCTTAAAATACTGATTTGTATTCTATTAAATCATTTTCTACTCTCACGCATTTTTCTTGTTTTTTTATCTGTATTTCTAACAGATAACTTCTTATCTTCTGATTTATTTATGCTCCTCCCGCTTCCTTATTTGCATTTTGATTGTGTGCAATTTTTAAAAGGATTATCTATCTTCCTTTCCATTTCTCTCTGCCTCTGTCTCTCCCTTCCTCTCTATCTCCCTCCCTCTTTCTGTATTTAATACGCAGCTTCCTCCATTAATCAATAAAAACGATTATCTTCGCCTTGCGGTTTGCCTCTTCTATACCTCCTTTACTTGATCAGTTTCAGTTTTAATATATTGTTTTCTCTATTTATCTTTTATCATCTCTTCATTATTTTGATTTTTCGTCCATTTCTCTGTATAATAAATCATGTTTATCATGTATTTTCCCAGTTTCCTCTCTCTCTCTCTCTCTCTCTCTCTCTCTCTCTCTCTCTCTCTCTCTCTCTCTCTCTCTCTCTCTCTCTCTCCCTCTCTCTCTCCCTCTCCCTCTCCCTCTCCCTCTCCCTCTCCTATTTCTACTTCTACTTCTACTTCTACTTCTACTTCTCCCTCTCCCTCTCCCTCTCCCTCTCCTTCTCCCTCTCTCTCCTTCTCCTTCTCCCTCTCCCTCTTTACAATATGCCTCTGATTTTGTTTAACACTTATGTACATTCGCGTATATATACTTTGTTTTCTTAAATAAATTCCTCATTACTATTCTTTTCTCTCGACGAACCAGTTAAGCAATTCCTGTATCATTTTCGTTGCAACATCTCCACGTTCTTTATCATTCTCTCTGCTGGTATGTCTTATTATCTGCACTTTTTCTTTGCCTAATAAACGTAATGATTTTCTAAATCTGTTTTCCTTTCTTTCGCTTTGCAATATGTTCATCTAGCTTACCTGTTCTACTTCAAGTGATTGCAACTGAGATGCATTTTTTTTTTCTCTTTCTATAATCAACTTCCTTAATATTTAATCTTTCTTCATTTAATCAGCGGGAAATATTTTTAAAACTGCTTTCTAATCCTCACAAGTAAAAAAAAAAAAAATTCTTCTTTACAAATTCCTTACATCTTGCCCAGTTTAACTAAAATCTAAAAATGTTTTATATTCTTAATGAGCCGATTAACTTCTAAGGTTTTAATAACCCTCAAAAAAAAAAAATCTCTTCCATTTTAAATCCATGAAAAAAATATATATACTAAAATGACCTCCCATTCATCAAACTAACCACACCACACACACAAAAAAAATCCTTCCTTTCGTTTTGCAATCTGCAATCTCTTGTCTCTCCATCGTTGTGCCAGACAATCTTCGTGCCTGAGTGACCGGGTACCTTCCAGCCAGCTTGTACATGCAAGGCCGTCCGCCTGCCTTATTGTCTGCCTGTCCGTCTTCCTGAAAATGGATTTGCCAGCTCGCTCTTGGCCTGGGATAAGAGGGGGGGGGTGTTGCAAAGGGGGGGGGGAGGAGGAGGAAGTGGAATGGAGGAGGTGGGAGGAGGAGGAAGGGATGGGGAAGGGAGGAGGAGGAGGGGGAAGGTTGGGGGAGAAGTGGAAGAGGAGGAGAAGAAGGAAGAGGAAGAGGAGGGAGGAGGAGGAAGGAAATAAGAGGAAGAGGAAGAGAGGCGGAGGCGGAGGAGGAGACAGGGAGGGAGAAGGGAGTAGAAGGAGTGGGAAGGGTGGGGGAGAAGGAGGACGAGAAGTGGAAGAGGAGGAGAAGGAGGAGGAGGAGGAAGAGAAAGGGAGGGAGAAGGGGGGGGAGAAGGAGGAAGAGAAGTGGAAGAGGAGGAGAAGGAAGAGGAGGAAGGATGAGGAGGAAGAGAAAGGGAGGGAGAAGGGAGGAGGAGGAGGGGGAAGGGGAGTGGAGAAGGAGGAAGAGGAAGAGGAAGAGGAGGAGGAGAAGGAAGGGGTGGAAGGGGGGGAGGAAGAGGAGGTAGAGAAGGAGGAGGAGGGCGAGTAGAATATGGAGGGGGAGAAGGAGGAAGAGAAAGAGAACAGAAGAGGAGAAGAAGGGGAACACGAGAAAGGTGCAGAAGATACGAACGAGGGAAAAAATAATGAGAGGAGGAAGAGTAGTAATTAAAAACATAACAAAAAAAGTAAGAAAAGTAGGAGACGAAGAAAAAATAATTAAAGCGGAACAAAGAAGCGAGGAGGAGGAGGAGGAAGGGAGGGGGAAGGGAAGAGGAGGAGAAGAAGGAGGAGGAAGAAAAGGAGGTGGAGGAGGAAAAAGAGGAGGAAGAGGAAAAGGAGGAGGAGGAGGAGGAGGAGGAAGTGAAGGAGAAGGAGGACGAAGAGGACGAGAAGGAAGAGGAGGAGGAGGAGGAGGAGGAGAAGGAGAAGGAGAAGGAGGAAGAGAAGGAGAGAGGTAGGGGAGAAGGGAGAAAGGGAGAGAGGGAGAAAGGGGGAGGGGTTACCGAAAGGAGAATAAACAGGATGAAAGGAGAACCGAGGAGACCACATGTCCCGCGTGCTTGCTCTGGGGTCGGTCGAGTGGCCCTGATCGCTAACTTGGCCCTATCTTGACCCGACCTTTGCTTGCGGGGGGGGGGGGGGGGCTTTGTTCTCTTGACCTTTCTTTTTTGTGGGAGGGAGAGGGAGAGGGAGGGGGGGAGGGGAAAGGAAGGAGGGAGGGAGGGAGGGAGGGAGGGAGGGAGGGAGGGAGGGAGGGAGAGGGAGAGGGAGAGAGAAAGGGAGAAAGAGAAAGAGAGAGAGAGGGAGAGAGAGAGAGAGAGAGAGGAGAGGGAGAGAGAGAGAGAGAGAGAGAGAGAGAGAGAGAGAGAGAGAGAGAGAGAGAGAGGGAGAGAGAGAGAGAGAGAGAGAGAGAGAGAGAGAGAGAGAGAGAGAGAGAGAGAGAGAGGGAGAGAGAGAGAGAGAGAGAGAGAGAGAGAGAGAGAGAGAGAGAGAGAGAGAGAGAGAGAGAGAGAGGGAGGGAGAGAGCTTATTATGTGTGTGTGGGAACATAAGTATTACTAAGGTGTGCATATAAGGACGACACGAAACGGGGGGAGGAGGTATAAAACAAAAAAGGAATTTCCTTCTAAAATATCAACCCTAAACCCCCAAAAATCGACCCTTACCTTAGAACTCGAATTTACCCTAAAGAAAACGCGCTCCCGAAAAACACACTTCCGGACTTCTAGACTTCCGAAATAGCATAATATATACTTTAAAAAAAATCCTGGTAACAACTTAAAAAAAAGAGCTAAGAAAAATGTAAAAAATGGAGACAGAAAAAAAACAAAAAATGGAGACAGAAAATAAAAAAATGGAGACAGAAAAAAAAACAAAAAAATGGAGACAGAAAAATAACAGAAAATGGAGACAGAAAAAAACAAAAAATGGAGACAGAAAATTAAAAAAAAAAATGGAGACAGAAAAAAAGCCAAAAAAACGAAGAAAAGAAGAGAAGAAAAAAATCACCGAAATCCTTTACCTGTATCATCCTGAAGACCGTCCTGGCTGCCTTCCTCGTCGGCGCCCTGTGATTGGCCGCCCGAATCGACGACGACGGCGATGATTGGCTCAGCTCTCACGCTGCCATCTGTCGGCGATTCCTCCAACTCGCTCTCCGGCGTGTCCAGTTGCTCTGAAGAAGAAAAAAAAAGTCATGAAAATGCACGATTATAGTCATTCCAGAGAGAAATACCCGAAGTCAACGTTACGTAACACAATCACTCATAAATAACAGCAGATCGGTAGTTATTAGAGGCGCAATGGCCATAAATGAAATGGATTTCCCTTGTCAAAGCATGGCACAGGATACAAGCGCGGTAATTAAGAGATAAACTGGTGTCATTAATTCGACAACAAAGCCAGTAATCAGAGCCTTAATTAAAAATCTGCTTCGTAATTATGCTACCAGATTCTTCCCCAAATGCCAAAGCCGAGAACGATATTTCTTACGCCTCGACTCGTCTCTGGGAAGATGTATGAAAGTGTAAAAGATAAAAATAATGATAAAATCAAATAACGGATAAATTAACAATAATAATGATAATGATAATAACGATAATGATAATATTAATCATATAGCGATAGTAATAATATAAATAATAATGGTAATACTGCAATGATGATGATGATGATAATTACAATAACTATAACAATAATAATAATAATAATAATAATAATAATAGTAACGATAACAATAATAAATAGCAGTAACTACAATAATGAAAATAATAATGATAATGAAAATAACAATAATAATAATAACATTAAAAATGACATAGTAATAATTACAAAGACAACACTAATAATAATGTTGATGATAATGATAATAAAATAAGAATAACAGAGAGAGAGAGAGAGAGAGAATGATAGAGGGAAGGAGAAACAGAGCAAGAAAGAAGGAACAAAAGGAACAAAAGAAAAGGATGGGGTGGGAAATGAAAAAAATTATTGAAAAGGGAAAGATGAAAAGAAAAGGATAGAAAGAGAAAATAAATGATAAATAAAAAAAACAATAAATAAAAAAAACAAGCCAATGAAAAATAACCACGTGACCAGAAAAAAGGGAAATAGAAAAGACAAAAAAAGAAAAAAAAAATATCGACTGTTAGAAATAGTGAGGGAGGGCCGGAGGGGGGAGGGGAATGGGGGGGAGGGGTTACAGAAGAGCGGTATATCAAATCTTCTTCAGTGATAAAGATTGGCCAATACGTCTTCTCACTTGTTCGGATAATATCTGGAACCACCTGTTCTTGTCCGTAACTGGCCATTTGGGAGAGGGAAACGCATGAGGCGGGGGGGGGGGGGGCAGTCAGCTGATAAGTGTGCGAACCGGAGGTGGGGAGGGGGGGTACTTTCTAAAAGGGAACCCCTCTTTTCTCCATCTCTGTCTGTGTCTGTGTCTGTGTCTGTCTGTCTCTCTCTCTCTCTCTCTCTCTCTCTCTCTCTCTCTCTCTCTCTCTCTCTCTCTCTCTCTCTCTCTCTCTCCCCCTCTTTCTTTCTCCTTCTCCCCCTTTCTCCCACTCTCCATCCCCCTCTCTCCTACCCCCTTCTCCCCCCCCCCTCCCTCTTCCATTTGATTTTCTTTCCTACTCTCTCAATGTTTTTCCTACGCCCCCCTCTCTCTCCCTCTCCCTCCCCCCCCCCTGTCTTTCTCCCTCAATCCTTCTCACTTATCTCTGTCCCGATAAGCCATTCAGTCCTCGGGAGCAACATTAAGGCCTCCTTGCAACACCCAGATAAGAAAGATTATATCAATTGAACAATTTCTGTTTCTTGTGCCTGACATACGCACGCACTTGGGCGAGAAAAAATACTGATAATAGTAATAAAATAAAAAATAAAATAATTTAGGTGGATTCCATTTGTTACAAAGGATATTCTTGGTGTGACATGCTGTCTGTTTTATTTTGCTTCTAAATTATCCCCTGTGTGCAAGGAATGGCCGGGGTTCCCATCCACTGGCGGCGAGGGATTCGAACGCAGGTCAGCAAGATTGGTAGACGAGATCGCTACCGCTGCACCACACAGCATTAGTAACGTTAATTAATAATGATAATAATGATTGTACTACTACTACTAATAATAAAGATAATAATAATAATCAAATAATAAAATAATAATGATGATAATAATTATAATCATAATAATGATAATAATTATAATCATAATAATGATAATAATTATAACCATTACAATGATATTAATAATAATTAATCAATAATAATAATAATAATAGTAATAATAATAACAATAATAATAATACCAACAAAACAACAATAACAAAATAAAATATAAAAATTATAAAAGAAATAAATAAACATAAAAAAATCCCTTCGCCGGCACCGCACGCGCCGAGTCCTCCTCGCGGGAACGGATGCAGCTGTTCGGTTCAGAGGTTCGGTTCAGATAGGTGTTCGGTTCAGAGCGGCCAACTCCAGGCGTCGCTCTCGGTTCATGAAGATGATTCGAGTCTTCCAGTCTTCTTGTCTTTCTTTCTCTTTTCCTGTTATTATTATTATTATTATTATCGTAATTATCATCTTTGTCATTATTATCATTATTATTATTATTACTATTATTATTATTATTATTGTTATTATTATTATTATTAATTATCATTATTATCATTATTA